ATATATATATATATATATATATATATATATATATATATATATATATATATACCGAGCGGTATACCATACTGCTCAGTATACTGTATCGTATCATACCGAGCGAATATCGAAACATCGGTACAGTACAATATTTCAAACCTTGCTTGAAAGTACCTACAACTCGCCAATATTCTAAAAGGAGTTGCCGTACCAGTTCAGTCAAAAAGAAATGCGATCTCATACCAGGGGTTTAGCCGAGCAGCTCCACAAGAAGTCCAAATGTCTACATATCAAAGAAAACTAACCAAGAACCACCAGGTACAGTACATTAACTCTTGAAAATACTTGCAATTCACCGATATTCTATAAGGAACTAATCGGACCAGTTTAGCCAAAAAGAAATGCAATCTCATATCGGGTGTTTTGGTCGTGCAATTCCACAATAAATCAAAATGTCTACGTATCAAAGATTACTAGCCAAGAACCTCAAGAATTGGAAAACGTTCATTAGTAGAAGAACTGACAGTTCGCCGATGTTCTTAAAGGAGGTGATCGAACCAGTTTAGTCAAAAAGAAATGCAAGCCCATACCGGGGAATTTGGTTGCGCAGTCCCGCAAGAAGTCCATATTGTTCGTATAATTAAATGTCTGATCCCAATCTTCCTGCCTGAAGAACACGGTCCATAAACATCCCAGCATACGCACACGACCACCAAACACCACATCGAGTTTCAAGATCGAAACGACCCAACGCAAAAAAGAAGAAACAAAAAAAGATCAGCAGAGGGTTAGAAAAAACCCACGGATCTTTGATGCAGAAGCCGAAGCGATCTTTGACTTCCGGAAATATGTTGCTGGTGAGGTTATCAACGGCGTCGTTGAGCAGCCATAACAGCGGAGATGTCGGCGGCGGGTTGATTCCGCCGCTGAAGCCCTGACAGCAGCCAACGGGAAGGCGGCCGAGGAGAATCAAGGCGAGCGCAACGGAGACGGCGTCGGCGTAGGTGGAGGCCCAACGCTCGCGCATTGCCACGTCTCCGATCAGAAGCCCTCAGCGACGACGAAGAAGAAGAAGGGAGATGATTTGGAGAACAAGAACAAGAAAGAGGGCCGCCCCTCGGCAACGAGGAAGAAGAAGGGAGAAGGGGTGGAGAACAAGAACAAGAAAGATGGCGGCCCCTCAGCAACGACGAAGAAGAAGAAGGAGACAAGGCGGAGAACGAGAACAAGAAAGTGGGCGGCGACTTCGAGGAGGGAGAGCGGAGGTGGTATTTAAAGGAGGAGAGTATTCTGGCGGTGGTAGTGGGAACGACGGTTTCCAACGGTAACGACGGAACCAAGCGACGACGCCTTTCTTGTTATCCATGGGAATGTCCGCACTGATCGTTGTCGCCTAGTCCTCGGACCGCCTTCTCTTTTGCTAATATATTTCTACTTACCCTTTTACCCTTCTCGAGGAAGTCGCCCCTCTCTGCCCACTGACACGAAAAGACAATTCTCATTGGAACGATCAGCGGGACCCGAGATGGTCCCAGTTGTACGGACCAGACAGCATACAGCGGCGGCAGAAATAAAGAATTGATATTTTGGCCCTTAAACAAGTCGATGTTTCACGATAAGTCCCCGACGAAGTTAAACTTAGTTTGCAAATCCTTTAACTGCGAGAGATTAGACGTACGAGGACGAAGATGTGATTGTAGAGATAAGAGGGATCAAAGAGTAAAAAGTTATCCCAAATGAATTCAAAATTGAGAGCAAGACAACCACATAGTTTAAGGTAAGCAAGGAATTTATAGCTAATGGCATTTGATGGTGCATCATCACTTAAATAATATGTGTTATAATTAAGGCATTTGTTGCAAGTATTGTAGTTATCATAAGCATAGGACATCATTTGATGCGGATACGCTTGGCTAAGCGGTTACTAACAATCAAAAGTCACATACAATCTTACACTCTAAGAAAATATGTTTAGGAGAAGCAAAGAACAATTTATAGAAATTGGAAATATATTCCAAGCCAATTTACATAAGAAGAGTTTGACCAAGGATAATAATAGCGACAAGACTCAGGCTTACGTTAGCTGCCCCAAATGACGTCTCACGCCTCGATCGACTTGACAGCACCTGGTCAAACGGACCAGAACGTTGGCCGAGGCACATTAAACATCCTGCTCAGGCTCAGTCCTTCACGCCACGCCAACACCAGTGTCAGACGCTACCAGGAGTACGAGCATGCCCCCTGCAAGCGGGCACATCAGGAAACAGTAAACTTCCCTATAAATACCCTCGCATTCTAAATAGGGAAGGAGAGACAACCAACAAACCCCCTGCAACTATTCATTGACTCGAACGTCGGAGGGGTCGGGTCGAGTTCTCCCGACCTTACCTGTGTGCATGTGCGAAGACGGAGGTCACCCGCTAGACGCCTAGGCGAGGAGCCCCCTCTTGGAGAAAACAGTGACCCCGTCCCGATCGGACCATTGCAGCCGACCACCTCAGCGGTCTCGAGGGTCGTCCCGGGAAGATCCCCCATCATTCGGACCCGAACCAAGTCGTGTCGGCCCCGAGGCCACGACTTAAAGTTGTTTACACCAACAACCATGAGATCACTCTAGTACCAAATAGCCATCTAACTAGACTAATGAATCTTTCATTATTATATCTACTATTCAAAGTGTTATATGTTTTTTTAATTATTAAAATCACCAATAATCATCATGGAGGTAACATAAAACCTAATACCCAGAATTCTATTAACTAACAATGGACCAAAGATCAAACAATTTTGTTCAAATTTCAATTACCATCAGGAATAAGATTTGTAACACAAGAAATTTCAAAACATGCATTCACATTTATTAAAATAAGCTAAAAAAAATATTGAACAATCAAGAATCATCTCATACTAAAACTTTAAATCCATGAACTATCATTAAATTACTGAGAAGATTATTTATATTCAAAATAGACCCACATATGAGGTTTACTGTATTTAGCTATCAAAATTTTGATCCAAAGGGAAGCAACCTCTCAGCAAATGTATAACTTTTCATTAATGAGAAGTCCTTAATTCCAAGCCCTCCTTCGTATTCTTACAAAAAGTTATACCAAAAGAAATCTAATTATTTTCTCAAAAATCTAATTATTTCACACAATATGAGTTGAGAGAGCATTCAGGACAGATTTAATAAGAACATGTTTTTGGCATCGGCTTCAGAACCTTGTCATCAGCAAAATTAGAAAAGGGTCATATATTAGTGGCAAAAGGTTACGCAAATTAAGTACAAATATGCAACAAAATTAAGCTTCCAAATAGGTCATAATCCGATGATATCGATGAACAATAACGCTTCAGAAGCTTTGACTTCTGGGACTATGGTCAAATGCGGCTTCTTAGTCCCCCAAATTCTAACATTTGGTACGCCAAATTTATGTCCTATTTCATGTATTGGCTAACACGACGCTTAATAACTTTCGACGAGTTCCAAAAGGCAACATTTGGGCGCACAAAAAGACTTTGCAGCGTTGCCATCATCAGCTCTCTAAAGAATGAATGGACGGCCGACGCAACGATGAGTTGGACGAGATTCTGTATTTGACTGATACGATTTAAATAATTATAATATAAATTATCGTATTATTCTTAAGGTTTTTATTTCAAGTTTCATTTACAGCCATATGATTTCTGATGGTCAAACAAAATAAAACTTAAATACATGATGCAAAAATAAATAAATAAATAAATAAAATAGTCTTTATATATAAACCACTCCACAGTAATAGATTCAGTGGATTCACGTCGTTGACACTACCAAGTTCAATTTGAAGTTGGAAAGGAACTGCATGTTGATCGAGTTTATTTGTGAGTAGTAGCATATGTGATTGAAAAGAAATTCCAAATTGTTGGTAAATGAGTCATTGAACAAACAGTAATAGAGGATCACATATAACCAAAACTCATGAAGTATTGCTAGTGTGGGATTGATTGGATGTGTAGTCTGTCTATGGAGCGAAGAAGACGGCCATAAATCAACGGCTGGGATTGGATGTTGTCAAAGGATCATGTCCTGATCCTTGGGAGAACCTGATGGCTCCAAGGAACTCATGGGCCATTTAAGTGACGCGGCGCCAAAGTCTGCTCCCATCATTGGCAAGTTGGGAAGCTTAAACAAATGTTCATGAAATGTCAACGCCTCGTTGCTATAAATACCACCATAAGACTCCGCAGCTCTCAAACCTCTTCTTCTACTTCTACTTCTTCTTCTTCGCTTGGGTTACGTAAGCTAATGGCGGAGGGAGTGGGCGAACCGGGGAGCTCGATGCACGGGGTGACAGGCCGCGAGCCGACTCTGGCGTTTGAGGTGACATCTCCATCGGTCCCGACCGACACCACGGCCAAGTTCGCCCTGCCGGTGGACTCCGAGCACAAGGCCAAGGCCTTCAAGCTCTTCTCCTTCGCCAAACCCCACATGCGCACCTTCCACCTCTCCTGGGTCTCCTTCTTCACTTGCTTCGTGTCCACCTTCGCCGCCGCCCCGCTCGTTCCCATCATTCGGGACAACCTCAACCTGAAGAAGGGCGACATCGGCAACGCCGGCGTCGCCTCCGTCTCCGGTGCCATCTTCTCCCGTCTCCTGATGGGCGCCGTCTGCGACCTCCTCGGTCCCCGCTATGGGTGCGCCTTCCTCATCATGCTCTCGGCGCCCACCGTCTTCGGCATGGCGCTGGTCTCCTCGGCGGGCGGGTTCATCACCATGCGCTTCCTCATTGGCTTCTCCCTCGCCACCTTCGTCTCCTGCCAGTACTGGATGAGCACCATGTTCAACAGCCAGATCATTGGTCTGGCAAACGGCACCGCCGCAGGGTGGGGCAACATGGGGGGCGGCGCCACCCAGCTGCTCATGCCCCTCGTCTACGATCTCATCCGCAAGGCCGGCGCTACCCCTTTCACGGCCTGGCGCATATCCTTCTTCGTTCCCGGCCTCATGCACGTCGTCATGGGCATCCTCGTCCTCGTCCTCGGCCAGGACCTCCCCGACGGAAACCTCAGCACTCTCCAAAAGAAGGGCGACGTCGCCAAGGACAAGTTCTCCAAGGTATGAGCGCTGGTTCTTCTGCTGCTGCTGCCGCTGCAACAACTAATCGCAGCTATCCACGATTCGTCATGTGATCCTTTAGAATTAATGCATTTGATCCTTCATCCTTTTAGGTGCTATGGTATGCCATCACCAACTACAGGACATGGATCTTTGTGCTCCTCTACGGCTACTCCATGGGGGTGGAGCTCACCACGGACAACGTGATCGCGGAGTACTTCTACGACCGTTTCGACCTCGACCTCCGGACGGCGGGCATCATCGCCGCGTGCTTCGGCATGGCAAACATCCTCGCCCGCCCCATCGGCGGGTTCACGTCCGACTTCGGGGCGCGCCGGTACGGCATGCGCGCCCGCCTCTGGAACCTCTGGATCTTGCAGACCCTCGGCGGGGCCTTCTGCCTCTGGCTCGGCCGCGCCGAATCGCTTCCCGTCTCCATCTTCGCCATGGTGTGCTTCTCCATCTGCGCCCAGGCCGCCTGCGGCGCCACCTTCGGCGTCATCCCCTTCATCTCTCGCCGCTCGCTCGGCATCATCTCCGGCATGACCGGCGCAGGCGGGAACTTCGGCTCGGGGCTCACCCAGCTCCTCTTCTTCACGAGCACCAAGTACTCGACGGGGACTGGGCTGTCGCTCATGGGGGTGATGATCATGGCATGCACGCTGCCGACAACCTTTGTGCACTTCCCGCAGTGGGGAAGCATGTTCCTTCCGCCGTCGAGCGACGTGGTGACGTCGACGGAGGAGCACTACTATGCGTCGGAGTGGAGCAAGGCGGAGAGGGAGAGGGGAATGCACCAGGCCAGCCTAAAGTTCGCCGAGAACAGCCGGTCGGAGCGCGGAAAGCGATACGTGGCGTCGGCGCCGACGCCGCCTGAAGCATCCCCAGCCTCCGTTTAGACGCCTCAGTCTTTAAGATTGAGAAATGTCGAAAACAATCTCAGAATAAATAAGACCTTACACTTTGTAATTTATGATCATAAACGCCTACATCACCAT